ATGCCACTTTTTCAATTAATAAGCTCTGAAATGTCTCTAAAGTTTATGTAATGAAGTTTGTTGTATACTGTTACAGCAAAATATATTCTTGTATGGGGTGAATATAGTAATTTAGGATATTTGTAATGAAAGTAGTTGGTGAAAATTGCCATAACCTGATTTTTTTTTTTTGAAACAGCAGAATTGGCTGGTAATAGAAAAATTTCTTAATTTCATAAGTAGTATTTGCTAATACAGATAGAAACTGGAAAATACCTATGGGGAGAAAAATAAAATCATTCCACCTAGTGTTTTCCTTGTTAGCATTAGACATGTATATCCTCACAATTTTTTTCAAAGTTAACTATGTGTCTGCATTTTCCTCCGATTTGGGTTTATAGCATACGTTATGTACCATTCCCCCCCCCTCACTTAACAAATTATTCATTTGGTCAAGAAATACTTACTGAATGCCTATACCATTAGTAGATACTGTCCCAGTGTTAATTGCATAATACAGAGCAAAATATCGTAGTCCCTATTATCATAGAGCTTTATAGTCCAGGATTTTGTGAATGTCTTTCCGTTTACAAACATTACTTTTAACGAAGATTTGTTACTGTATGTAATAAAAGTTGGTGATTCCAGTTGTTTCCCATGTGCTAGATTGCATTCACAGAGTGGATTGAACCACCTAAACGAGAAAGAAAAGCCAATTATGCTGTTGATGCATATTTCAGGGAAGCTCTTCGTGTTAGTGAACCTAAAGCACCCAAGGTGAGTTGACAGAGCACAAAAATATCTAAAAATACTGAAATGTAAATTTTTTCTTACATTCTTACAGTAAAATAAGATTGAGGATTACGTTTTGTGATTTTTTTTTTTAGTAATGTGCTACCTTCAGTTTTTAGTTGGCAAAACTTTTAAAAAATTAATTTTGAGTTTGTACATTTAAAATTTGATTGATGTCAGTGTTCAATTTTATTGAAAGATGCATTCAGCACTTGGAGATTCGGCTGTTATGGCTTATATGAAATGAGGACTAGCGATAGAATTTAAAGCAAAATTTCTTTTTCATGGACAATACTATTTTTATTTTTCTTTAGGCACCTCGACCTCCAAAACAACCCAATGTTCAGGATTTCCAGTTCTTTCCTCCACGTTTATTTGAATTACTGGAAAAAGAAATTCTGTATTACAGAAAAACTATTGGGTACAAGGTAATTGAAATTCTCTACTTTATGTCCTTTTATGTCCAGAAATCGTGGAAGGTATAAACATTAATTTAAAAAACAATTTTTGTTTTTATTTCAAAATATTAAGGGGGTACAGATGTTTTTGGTTACATGGATTGCTTTTGTAATGCTTGAGTCATAGATATAAGTGTGCCCATCACCCAAACAGTGTTCATTGTACCCATTAGGTAGGTTTTTGCCCCTCCTCTCCTTCCCAGATACTAATTATTAATATTTTTTTAAAGAACTTTAGCCTAGTAAGAAAGAATATTGATTTATTCTATCCTAGTTGTTTAAAAGAGTTATTTAAATGATTAATTTGGTTTGTTTTTTAGTGTAATGAATAAATGCAGGATATCAGTGTGTTTTCTTTAATGGATGGATTTAAACTTGTGAAATTTTAGTTAGCTAAGAATTTAGTTCATCACATGCTCTTTAAAATTTGCTGATTGATGGCATAGAAAAATTTTCTTCTAGGTACCTCGAAATCCTGAGCTACCTAATGCAGCACAGGCACAAAAAGAAGAACAGCTTAAAATTGATGAAGCTGAACCCCTTAATGATGAAGAATTGGAGGAAAAAGAGAAGCTTCTAACACAGGTATAACCTTCAGTCAAGCTGTAGTAACAGTTTTGTAAAGTACTGTTTTGTGTTGGAGCGTATAAGTATAAGTTTCTGCCTTTAAAGATGGAAGAATTGAAATGATAAAACATGGGCATGTGGATAAATGCTGCATTTTGATTGTCACTAGTTGTTGAGGTAGTTGAGAAGATTATGGATTTGCACAGGCCTCAGTTAGAGTGGGTATCTTTTTGATCACCTTACTTTCATTGTTACCATCTTTCCTGTGAGTCTTCCACATTGCTACCAAGTTACCATTTTCGATTATAAATCTCTGCTTGGTACTTTTTAAATATCCTTCAGGATTCATTAAAGATCTTTCAGGATCTGGCCTTTACCTTTAAAACTTTGTTTTCCTTCTGTTTTCCCACTTGCTCATATCTTTGCTCTTTAGGTTATGTTAGTCATTCTTCCTGGCAAACTCCTAATCCTTCAAAGTTGAGCAAAATTGTCACCTTTTCATGCAGCATTCCTTACTGTCTCCTAGTCAAATTTAATTGCTTGAGTATCTAAACAATCTAGCTAAAAGTGTGCATCTATATATATGTTAATAAAACATTTCACTCTAAAAGAACTTAATTAAAAAAAGATAAACTGGGAGCAATTTAGAAGGATTGGTAAGGTTTATTAGCATTTTTTTCTAAGTTTAGTGTTCAGTGATTGAATATTTTGTTTCTGTTGGTGTGAAGGGATTTACCAATTGGAATAAGAGAGATTTTAACCAGTTTATCAAAGCTAATGAGAAGTGGGGTCGTGATGATATTGAAAATATAGCAAGAGAAGTAGAAGGAAAGACTCCAGAAGAAGTCATTGAATATTCGGGTAATTCTTTTATTATTATAATTATTATTTTTTATGTGTCTCTTTCAGAGGAAAATATCTTTTATTATTTTAAATAGAGAAAAATATGTTATCAGGCTTTTGGAGTTTAATAAGAGCTGTTGGAAATTTCCCGTTTCTTTATTCTGAATTATGTTGTGTGTGCTAAGTTAATTTTGCCACAACTTAGTGCTTTGTTTTTTGTTTTTAAAACAAATTAGAAAATGTCCTCTTCCCTAAAATGGCATAATGATTTAATTTTTTTTCTTCAGCCGTAGCTTACTCTAGCTATAGCCAAGGAAACCAGAGTAGGCTGTTGAGTAATTGTGCTTTCATATTTATTTCATTTCTCTCCGTAAGTATTGGTGTGTTCGTGCTTCCTGAAGTCAGTTGGTTTGTCATGAATTACTTAGAATTTTAGAATAGCAGAAATTTAAGTGTTGGAAGATAGCTTCAATCATCCAGTTCATCTCTTTTTTTTACATTTGAGAAAAACAAATTCTAATTGACTTATTTGCTCTCTAGTATTACGTATAGGAAATGTTTCTTAATCCTTAGCAAATAAAATAAATTGCAACATATGCACTAACAAGTTATTTGTATACCTCCTTCCTCTACCCATTCTATCTGTCCAATTTTTGCTCTTTTATAGCTGTGTTCTGGGAAAGGTGCAATGAGCTCCAGGACATAGAGAAGATTATGGCTCAGATTGAAAGGGGTGAGGCAAGAATTCAAAGAAGAATAAGTATCAAAAAAGCACTTGATACCAAGGTACTTTGTGTGTTAATAAAGATGGTATTTAATAAAATAACTACTGTCTGTGAATATGAGAGTTAAAGTAACTTTTTAAAGGAAAAAGAAACGAGGGTTTAAAATTAAAAATTTTTTCAAAGAAAAACATTATAGGTATTGTCAACCAAATTAAACTCAGTATTAGACTGATATTTTGGTCAAAGACACTAGGGTTACCTTCTTATTAAGTAGTATCAGAAAGTTTGAGTCTGTATTTCTCTTTATAATAATAAAGACTATGAAGGTCTTTCAGGACAAAGGTTATATAAAGCAATTGAGATGCTCTGGATAGGAAATTCTTATTTGAAATAAAACATTTATAGCTAATTATACTAAAGCTGAATTTGAAACAAAGACTATATAGGATTTATATTTTGTATAATATAAAATCTGACTTTTATAGATTGGACGGTACAAAGCACCTTTTCATCAACTGAGAATATCATATGGTACTAACAAAGGAAAAAACTATACCGAAGAAGAAGATCGTTTTCTGATTTGTATGCTTCATAAACTTGGATTTGACAAAGAAAATGTTTATGATGAATTGCGGCAGTGTATTCGCAACTCTCCTCAGTTCAGATTTGACTGGTTTCTTAAGTCTAGAACAGCAATGGTGAGTGCTCAAGGCCTTTTTGTGTCATGTAGCAACGAGTTCGGAATAAGTATATTCTTCAAGTTAACTTAAAAATCTTTGAAGCAGATTTTTATTACAATATTTTTAATATCATAGGCTAAATCATTTCTTAAGAAAACAAAAATCCACATCCACAGTTAAAACACCTGTTATCATGGATAACTTACAAAGTTTATTGGTCATATCCTTTAATATTACACATCTCTTAACATTGCTATATATGATTGGACTAGTTTTTCAAGTTCTGAGTGGGAGGCAGTGTTGCCATCAGTTTCAACTTCTGTATGTGATGACTTTTTGGTTTTGCAAATGAACACATTTTTATAAAGAAAAATGCTCCTTGCATCCAGATATCATCAGAATGCTGAACCTGGATTATTTTTACATGGTTTAACTCTGTTTTTGTACTGATTTAATGCTAGGTTTTGTTTTTATTCCCAGTGTCTGACTAACTGTCTCTGACCATGGATCTTCATTTCTAAGGACCTAAAACTTTCAAATTCAGAAAAGTTTAGTTTTGATGAATTTCTTCTTTTCTTCCTTATTTGAACCTTTGAACTTTGAACTTGTGTTCTGCAGGATGATAATAATGCTAAAAAGGTTCTGTAGTCTTAGGTTTGGGATATACTGTGATAAGCAAAGTTTAAACAGTTTATTGTAAAATTTCTCATTGTATTTAAAGTGCATTGTCACTCTACAAGACAGTGGATAGTATGCAGTTTTTTCATGTTTGACCACTGAAAAATTTTTTCAGCTAGACATCAAGAAAAGCTATTTTGTGATATCCTAGTTTGGGAGATGTTACTAAACTAACATGTGAAGCTACTTGGAAGATGAAAACACTATAAATATATAATTAGAGAAAAAACAGATTCAGTTGCTATATGTCCAACCTTATGTCTTTTTTAAGTAGGAACAATTTATATAATTAATAAGGAGTAATGATTTTGTAGTGATTGTAACAAGACACAATGTCACATTGATTTACCAGTTCAGTACCACGGTTTAAAATTGCATTACTTCCTAACATGTTTCTTGTTAAGACATACAGAAAATGATAATATATGTATAGCCCCTTGGTGATAAATAATTAAGGAATAGTCTTTGTTTAGGAGCCAAGAGATTTATACCTTAGCACATCTGTACACCTATTAAGGGAACCAGAACTTTGATGTAGTCTACTACCTTCTATCTCTGCATACTGTTGCAAATATTTCTAAGCCTTGTGTGGTGTATTCTATAAAGTATTTAAAATGATTTTGTTGTGGTTATCGGTAGTAATATCACATATTAGAAGGAAAAAAAAATAGTCCAGGCTCAGTGGCTTAGGCCTGTAATCCTAGCACTTTGGAAGGCCGAGGCGGGAGGATTGCTTGAGGCTAGGAGTTTGAGATCAGCCTGAGCAAGTACGAGACCCGTCTCTACTAAAAAATGGAAAAATTAAAATAGAGGAATTAGCCAGGCGCATTGGCATGTGCCTGTAGTTCCTGTTACTCAGGAGGCTGAGACAGGAGGATTACTTGAGCCCAGGAGTTTTAGGTTGCATTGGTAATGCCACTGTATTCTAGCACAGGCGACGGAGTGAGACCCTGTCTTTAAAAAAAAAGAGAGAAAAAAAAATACACTTTTGCTCTATAAGGAAGAAGCTATTAGCTGCTATCCAGCAATTATGTGCACACACTTATGTTTCCTTCAGTATTATACTTATACTTTTCTAGAGGCTGTATAGTTTGGTAGAGAGAGATGAGACAGAACTCACTGTAATAGACTTCTGTAGCTATTTTTCCAAAATTGTGAAAGGTGGAATGTGGTCCATTGACTACCATAATTCTAGTGATAATACTTTGAAGGGAAAGATTATATACACCTTTAAAAGTTCTATTCATAGTTACTTTTGACTCTAACGTATGTACACTAAATCTAATAAGATTTATTTATTTTATTTATTTAATTTTTTTTTTTTTTTTAGAGACAAGGTCTCACTTTATGTATGTCCCAGACTGGAGTACAGTGGCATGATCATAGCTCACTGCAACCTCAAACTCCTGGGCTCAAGCGATCCTCCTGCCTCAGCCTGCTGAGTAGCTGGGACTGACTACAGGCGCATGCCACTGCACCTGGCTAATTTTTCTATTTTTTTTTAGTAGAGAGGGGGGTCTCACTTTTGCTCAGGCTGGTCTCCAATTCCTGAGTGCTAGGATTACAGGCGTGGGCCACTGTGCCCAGCCACAAGTATTATATCTTTAATCCTCATAGCATGGATTGTGTATAAAAATCCATTCCTTTTCCTTCTTTCTATCTATTGGCGCCATATATTGATTTTAGATTACCCTGTTAAAACATACCTTTGTTTTAAAATTGAAATCATGAAACTTATAGAATGGAAAATACAAGTTTACTGTGTCTATAACTCAGGAGCTCCAGAGGAGGTGTAATACCTTAATTACCTTGATTGAAAGAGAAAACATGGAACTAGAAGAAAAGGAGAAGGCAGAGAAAAAGAAACGAGGACCAAAGCCTTCAGTGAGTATTAATGAATATGTAAATATGAAGATTATGGAAAATTTAATTCTTATCTTTTTTCTTTTTATTTATTTGAACACTAGTTGGCTATCATTAATGCGTTAGTCTTTTTTTTCTCATAAATAATAGTCTTGAATCACATAAAAGCATAAATTGAACTTGATTGCGTTGTGTAAGAAAAATCGCTTCATGATGGTATTCTATAACATGAGGATTTGTGAAAATCTGGGATAGTATGTCTCATGAATGCCAAGAGCATACACTTCTCTTTGGGAGTACAAGTTATAATTTTAGAATAATTTAAGGAATATTAGGAAAGCTATGTCTTTATGACCTTTACTATTAGCTTCTTAGGCTTGGATTTATTGTTCCAGTGATGTCTTAGCAATGTGAATGCAAACATTTTAAGGGAAAAAAGTCATCTTGTTATTTACTAATAACTAATTTATAAAGTCATGAGTGAATGAATGTCTATGGATACTATCTGGTGGTTATGTAATTTCCTTTAAAAAACTCATAAAAATATTCTTTCTTTTGGGAAGAAGACATGGTATACACTTATTTGGTATATTGACTGTTAATTGTGAATTCTTATAATTATTAGCTTAAAATATTTTTACTGTGTAAGTAAAATAAGTATACAAGATTATTTGGATGTTTGATTGTTTTCAAAGATTTCTATAGTCTGACAGAAAAATCTCATTGTTACTATGTTGCACTTATTACTAAAATGCTATAATGTGTCTGTGAATATATTTTATGTTTATATTAGTCTTGTCATCAAAAGTAATCCTTCTGTTTGTTTGTAGACACAGAAACGTAAAATGGATGGAGCACCTGATGGTCGAGGAAGAAAAAAGAAGCTGAAACTATGAATACATTTTTGTTTCATAATCACTAACTTTAAACCAGTAGTTCTTTAATTTACGGGTCTTCCTAAAATGTACTGTACAATGCTCAATTGTTATGTCAGTCAAAGACATCAGGTTCATCTGTTTACTGAGCTAGAAACATAGTATGTAGTTTCACTTTTTTAAATGCAACAGCTGTGCTGAAATTTTTTTATCATTAACACTTGAAGTAATAAAATAGGCTTCATTTATTAATAAATGTTTCATTTGATTTATTTTTCTATTATAGTTCCATTTGTGAAGATTGTGTAATTTCTACACTTGTAAGGCTTAAAAGCAAGCAAACAAGTTAAAAAGAAAATTGCAAATAAGATTTGTCCCTTCACTCTTCACTTAGTTGTGTAATTGTTTCAGTTCACTTTGCCTTTGCAGAAATTTGGGTATTTTCTTTGTAGTGCTATTGAGTCTCATCTGGAAAGATTATGTAAATTGCATTCTCCTTATTGTGTGGATAGAATGGGGGAAAAAGGCAAGACAAATTATAATTAAATTCTATGCATATTTCTGTTACGCTTTCTGTTTTTATAGTTGGTTCTGAAGTGAATATGCCCTATTCTTTTGGAAGAATGTCCTTTTAGTTGTATAGCCAAAGACATTTAGTAATTCCGGTTCCTTAAGGTGTTATTGTACCATTTTGTAAAAGGAATATTATTATTTTTTTTAATGTTTGGTAAATATTTTGACAGATGACCTTCTGAAGCAGCCACAACTTAGATAATGTAAGAACTAAGGTAATTTTTTTTTATTTTGAAAGACCCAGCCAAAATGAGGTGTGAATTTGTCATACTGTTAAATTGAAATTGGTAACAGAATGTATCCCCTCCCAGTTTATAGTATTTTTGAGTTTTAGAGTAAATGAAAATTTTATTTTATTATATTTTAAAATAACTTCTAAGTGTCAGCAGCAAGACTGACTATACTTCCAGTTTTTGTTTTCTATGGACAGACTTGATAAACTGGAAACCCTGTGAAGCAGGAATACCCAAATCATAGTGTCAGGATTTTAGCTGTACCAGAGGCCTTTATGTGCTACACATAATTTGTATAAAGTTTTATATGTGCAAACTGGGTACATTAAATAGTGCTCCATTTTTCTAAGGGAATGCAATAAATGTAGCATCGTGAATAAATATAACTTTTATAATCCTTAAAGTGGTCTTTTCTTTCCATTTCTTTAAATTTTTCTCAATTTTTATTCACTTTTTTCCTTAGGATGCTATCTTTTTCTCTTAGATTTCTTCTCAAATTTCTTAGTTCATAGTTTTTAAAAAAATGCTGATTTCTGTAGTATTACTAATACTGCTTAGTTGTCTGAAATGTGGGATTGCTACTGTTAGTGTCAAGCAAAACACAGTGTTTATGGCAAAATGTAGAGTAATTTGAATTTATTCATTGGTCCCCCAAATTATTAATAACATCTATACAATGTTAGATGCTTAAATAACAGTTAAAGGTCTGGTGTATGCAAAAAGTTGAGGAAAGGTTACCTTTTTTCATGAAAGAAAGACTAATTCTTAAGAGTTGTGATTTTATTATTAGAGAAATTGAAAAAATGTAAGGGTGAAGAAAACTTTATGGAAGTCACAAAAGTGATGTCTTCAAGAGGAAGAGAAATTGGGAGGAAGTACACAGTGGAAATGCAAAATGAATCAAGTATAGTGCCAGCCTTTGCGCGCTCAGGGACTCAAATAATAAAAGAAACATAACGTAAAGGGAAACTCAACTTGAGAAGAACATGAAAGATAATTATCCAAATCTAGCGTTGCAATTTAGCCAGCTCAGGAGATATTTTATTTCACGAGTCAATTAGGGTATCACTGTTGCATGCTTATCTAGAATAAAGTAAAGCCAAGTTTTTATTTATACTACTAGTTAAGGGAAGGAAAATAATAACTAAGCTCAAACTATCCATCTGTTTTAAAAGAGCAATTGCTGGTGAAGATAGACTCAAAATTGGAAACCATGTGAGGAAGAAGCAACCCTGAACTAGTAGAATGGTGACTTAAGCCACCCTAGAAGAGCTGGGTGTTTATGTAGGTGAGTAGGTTGACAGCAATTTGTTATTCAGAATATTTACTATTTGAGTAAAACACTATATATTATTTCTGTTGCAAAGATTATATTCTGCCATTAAATAAAGTGGAGTCATAATTTTCAACTTTAATAGTATTTTAAATGTTAATGTGAAAACCTAGGAGGAAAAATAATGGAAAATTTTCCAATAGCAAATATTTTCTTTTTAAAAAAATTTTAATTCATATAGTAAAGTTTGCTTAATTTTATAGCAGTGCTTACATGTGCTCATTATTATATGTTAAAGTTTTAATTTACTTAGGAAATCTGAAGTAAACAGCCCCGATTTAGCATAGTTGTATTTATGGATATCTAAATGTTAGTCTTTCTTACAGGATACTCAGTGTCCAGTTAAGTGTGACAGATGATAGATACAGACAGCAAAAAGTAATAAACCAGTCAATATATATAGTACTGTTCACTTTGACCAATTAACTTACCAATTTGTTTATATGTTTCAAATAACTTTTATTTTCTCAAATAGAATCTTACTTGATAGTATTTTAATATTATTTGACTCCATGATTATATATTATTTAAAAAATACAGTTGTATTAATTTCTTTCTTTTAAAGACCTGCATGTCCTTAGAGTAATCAATAGATTAGGTGTAATAAAATGTTAAGGAACATTTATAACTCCCATTTCTGAGAAGCCTACAGCCCTTAATACTTGACAGTTTCCTTTTCAGTATTTCTGTATGGGAATTCATTGGGTGGATTCAAGTTGTAGGAGTTGAAAAAGTATGAAGTGGTTGAATCAAGTGCACAGTGTACTTGCTTCAGGCATAGAACACAGTTGTTCTTTACTAAAATTTTAAAGAAAGGATCAGCTCTTTGTAAAATATGTGTAATTTCTCTTTCAGTGTATCTGTACTGAAAATACTAGTGCTTGGGCCCCAAGCTGCCATTTGTGCAGCCAGGGTTTAGAATCACTGACTAAAGCCAGTTTGAGAAAATTAATGACATATGTCCTGCAGGATAGTCCTGCTAATCCCGCTATGCTCTTTCTAAATGCTGTAGGCACCACAGTGATTTCTTCTCACTCTTAATAGTCATAAAACAAGTTAGGGGGAGTTCCTTCAAAGTAGACTGAGTTTAGTTTGTTCATAGCAGGAACTAACCTTTAACAAAATTAACATTGGCCCTCTCATTGTACCTGGATAGTACTGGGACCTGGTGCTCGATAAGGGAATGAATAGTTTTAAGTAGTTACAATGAAATTTGGGGCACTTACAGAGGTCTTGCGAAGGCTCTGACTCTAGCGGGCTGCAGACCCTATCTCTCCACAGGATGGCAGTGTCATACACAAAGGTGAGCTGCAGCTCCCACTGTGGGTCATAGTGCCACCAGCCACCAACCACAGCCAGGGAGTGAAAGATGTAGGAGACAAAGAGGCACACGCAGAGTCATGTAGGACTGGGCCAGTGTAACACCTGAAAAGTCAGAATAGAAGGTCAGAATCTTCCTAAGTACATGTTGGAAACATCCTTGGTTTTCTAGCACCAAGTCTTTAAACAGAAAAGTCATCCCTTAAGTTATTTGTAACTCTCCCTCAGTTCACATTTCCTGGATTTTTGTTTTTTGGGTTTTTTTCTTTTTCTTTTTTCATTACTTAAATTGCACATCATGGGTTGATGTTGGCACCCAGTGATAGCATGTATAAGCACATTTTTCTATTGTGTGATTGACTGCTTGGTGTCTGACTTGTTATAGATCTTTACCCTGGTCACTTCCTAACAGAGTTCATCTTTCCATTTTAGAGGCCAGAAAACCAATGAAGAATACTATTAAGAAATTTGACTCCTGGCTATATTATAAATAAATTGCTGAAGGTAATTTCCAAAGTTTTCCACATCTGACTGTATGTCTCTTCCCTCTCCTACAGCTATCTAACCTGCTTCCTATTTTCTCCAAAGGAGAATATAATAGGAAAGCTTTGAGCTCATGGTAGTGCTCCTAGGTACATCTCGGCAATAATACTTCTGGATCGGGTGTGGCTACTTGTTTGACTTTTACACTTGAGCCCATCAGAACACTACTGTCAAATCACTTTAAAAAGGTTCCTAAGATAATTTTTTAAAAAGATACTTTCCTTTAAATTTAAAGGAAGAAGATAAGAAGTCTAAAAAGGCTTTAGGAAAAATCTTTTAGATCATTCTTCATTAGATGTGGTGAGTACTGGACTAGCAGTCAGGAGAATAGAGTCATAGCCTCAGCTCTAACAAAATCATTGTGATGCTGGGAAAAATAATTTGCTGAAATTGAATGAGAGCTCACCATTTGAAAGCGTTTTTGCTTGTACATTTCAATTGAATCAACCCAAGCTTCAGTTTCCTCAGATTCCATCATTCTTTGTATAACTCCGTACCTCTTAGCTATGAGTATATGCATGTCAGCAGATCACAGGCACTTCAATTCATACTCTGCTTTTATGGCATGTAGAAGAAATGTAAAATTGGAGGTCAGATGATGTGGATTCAAATCTTAGCTCTACCCCTTGTTACCTGAGTGACCCAGGGATGTTTTTGGTCTTATTATGGGATGTTAATAAGTACTTCACATGGGACTATAGAGGATTAAATGAGAAAATGATAAGATAGCATTTTTGTAAACTCCAAGTAAGGCAACTTGGTAAAAGTGACTACAGTGGTGTCTAAAGTTCCATTTGGAATTTCAGTTCTGGGGCTGCCTCTCCAATTAGTTGGTTTAGCTGGAGTCACTCACATTTAGGATTGCTGCAAGCCTTTATTGGATTGTTCTGTCCCCAATAAAAGAGTATTGATTGTTGCTCTGCTCCAAACATTTCCCCTGTCCTTCAGTACTCCTCTCAAAAGCATACCTGGTCATCAGTGCCACCAGAGATTCCATGCTTAGTCAGTAGTTTGGACATGTCACAATAACTACTGAATTCCCAAAGGCAGTCCTCCAGCTTCAGGTTCTGGTAAAAGCAGGGGGTGTGAGGAGATCTCAGGGAGGTCCTGTACTGGTAGGGGGCTCTCTGCCCAGGGGCTTCAGGGTACTTGGCATGTGTCCTGGTGAAACCATGCTTTGTGTGGAGCTGGCTATTGTCCGGAAGATTGGAGCACTTATGGTTGCCCACACAGGTGCCATCAGGGCTGAG